CCCCCCCCCCTCTCTAAAAATTAGAAAAACTTTGAACTTATTTAATAATATAAAAAAATAAGTATCTGTTGCATTCAAGATATCATTATTCTTGTATTGTTCAAAGGTGGCACACTATTTGGCAAACATCTGGTGCGAGATTTAGAATTACAAAGACCGTGCTCATGTCAACGACGACGCAAGCGTTGCTTCTGTTTCCGTCCAAATCATAACGAAAATTGGTTATTCTCACGATATTCTACCGGCTGGAAGTGTGGATTACATGCGGATTGGACCGAATTGACAAATTGTGTTGATACGGAACTCAATAAAATTGAAGGAGATGGAATTAAGCGCCGTTACTTTTATATAACTATCATAAGGGATCCCGTTGCAAGATATCTCTCTGAGTTTAGACACGTGCAGAGAGGTGCTACATGGAGAGGTGCTCGTCATTGGTGCGGAGGTACTCAAGCAAATATACCTCAGTGTTACGATGGTCCCAATTGGAAAGGTGTTACCCTGGAAGAGGTAATATTTCCTGATTTTTTTTACCTTATATTGGCTCTTATTATTATAATATAAATTATAGTACTTTATGTATAAGCGTTTTATCTATATATACTTTAAGGTAAAAACTTTTGTTTTATCTTAAAAATTGGGTTAAAAGCACTGTAAGAAATAAGCGATAATACGAGAAAAATATCAGGGATTTGAATCAAAGCCTGGTCTGCTCCATATTGATAGATTTCTGTTTTGTCTCCGAACCACACAGCCCAAACTCTAAGTTTGTTCGTGTCGCAGGCTCCAACATGTTCCTACTCATTCTAACGTGCTCTATGTTACATAGATTTCCCAAAAAGGTCGGGACACTTAAATAATCGAAAAATATAGTCTTTACAGAAAAATGTTTGAGATAAAAGTTATAGAATTTAAAAAGATCTATTTACTAATCTTCATTCATAATCAGTTTTGAGTGGCGTCGCTAAGGTCAGGCCAAAGTCACATGGATTTTTTTTTTAATGGAACACCTTACTTTTGATCCCAGGATCTAATAACTGATGTTGAGAACTTTGCAAAACGCTTTAAGGAAATATTTTTTTCATTATTTTTTTAGTTATGAGATGTTTGAAAGTTACAGTACATACAGTACTATTAGCCATGTGTCCGATCGACGAATAAAATCTCTTGAATGTTGCTCAGGATTATGTCCTGGATAATATTCGTCAAGATCAAGACCATTGGAGATTATTCCTCTTATTTTTATTTTTGCACTAAAAATTAATTTTTATTGTAAAAGTAACTTGGAATATCCTCATGGCATTTTCTAGTCACATCCGGGTGACAAACTTCTGCGGTCTGCCAGAGTCGTCGGGTGTCCCCATGGCATACGCCATTTATTAGGCTACTATCTTTGATTCGTGTTCTTGGTCGCATTTATCAGGCTCAATTGTTACAGAGCGGATCCGTGTGCTCACTGCTGTTGGTGTATTCTTTTAGATCATCAAATAGCAGCGAGCGCTCCGCAACAGTTGAATCTGCTGAATGCGACTCTATCATCAAGGCATCTATTGGTCCACTTGAGCTATAAAATTTATAAATTTTTCATTCTGATTTTAAGTCCTAGTTTCTAGAGATCCTGTACCCAGATAGCAAAATGATAACAGTATGCCAGCAAATTTGATTGTGATATCATAGCAGATATTAAGCTGCTATTTTCTTATGAAGTTTAGTTTCTAACAGTATAATCTGCCAACAATAGAAATGCAATAAAAATCGAGCATTCTTTGCTACAAATCCGTGACAGCAAATATGTCACAGATATCGGACAAAATTTGTCATGTCAAATATTAATAACAGAAAGACAGCAGAAATCAAGAATGATCTGATGTCACATTGTGATAGCGAAATCGCGGAAACGCTACAGTACAATGTTTTTATTACAATTATTGTATCAAATAGTGACAGCAAAAACACAGCAAAAACTGAGCACGGCCTGCCGTGCAAAAACACGGCAGATTGTAACGATGCGTCGAAAACACGTATTATTACTATCCGTTGTAGTGGTCTTTGGCCACATGTATAAGGGCACGGTGCGCCCGTAATCGTATTAACACATAAGTATAGCAGTGACAGCCATTCCGTATCAGAGATTACCGAAATCGTCCTATTACCGCCGACCGACATCTCCTATTCATATTGCGAATCGAATGAAATCGCCGAGCGCCTCTGGAACAATACGAGCGGAAGCAACAATTTGTATATAAACGATAAATCACTAATAATTTCTATTCCTTTCCGTTCCTGATCATGTTCCGATATTCTACGATCCTGATCTAGTAGCGAGAAAAGATGGAGAGATTACTCTGTCATTGTCGAGCGTTCTTGATAGTAACCTACCGGCTTTCCTAAAAACCGCTGTATTGCCGGGAAAACTCTAGAGTAGAGAGCACTCTGTCCTGTCGAGTGTTCTCGGCCATCGACTAGTTACAAAGCGCCGCTGCACCGATGGGATTTCTCCGGAGCCAGAGCGTACTCTGTCCCGCCGAGCTTTCTCAGCCGCCGGCCAATTGCCTATCGCTTTTGCCGCACCAGCAATAGCCAGGGGATATTATCTCCGTTGAGTTTCTCGACCGTTGGTTGCAGCAAGTGCACTTTTAATCAGTCTCGACAATAGCGGGATAGAGATTTTTCTGCTTCTACCGAGTGTTCTCAGCCGCAAGTATCACCGAATTGCGTTCTTCCCATAAATTGCAGTCGGGAAGACGCTTAGAAATTTATCGCGCCGCGATCGTATTCATGTTGGCGTATACCCGCGTTCCGCGCGCGTCCCGCGAACGACAAAAATTCATCTGTAATGAATCCGGCTAGACAACGACGTGTATACACACCGCGCACACACCACACGCACGCACGACTGCCAGACCGTATTTTTGTTTTCTTCTTTGTATCTACTTACATTCTCTTATAATAAATGTTTTATTATTTTCCTTTGTTAACGTTCCTTTGTGACACGATTTATTTTATTGCATCTCGCCTCTCCGCACCAAACCTCTTTTGCGAACCGACCGACCAGAAAACTGACGAGCTATTTCCGTGTGAAAGTCAGATAGTTATTTGCTATGTAACTGCCAGATGTCCAGCCGTTGCCTTGTCATGATTGGCATTTTAGATTTCCGCGCAGCGTTCCTTAGGTACGCATTGTTTGGATTGTTTTCCACTGTTGTTTGGAGGACATTTCTTTAAAGTCTAAATTGTGTAAGACGTCGATACAATTGGCCGTCAGTAATTTGATAGTCGGGATATTGGCACGGGTCATCGCGGACTGTTGTAATGCGTTCAGAATATATTATATATACTGGAAGGGCCATAGGTGACTGTCGCTCCAACATCTATCTGTCATTGTCTGAATGCTTCACCATAATGCGCATGCGTCGATTATTATTATGTAATGTTAAGAGTGTTGTACTCTCGCCTTATATGTAGAACATACACACACGTTCAAAGCTCACATATAAATCACTTGCAAATGTACAGCAAACAAACTTTTAGACAAGGATAGATAGATATTGGAAACACTTTTATTACATTGGTCAGATACGGTATGATCCTTCCAGTATGTTCTAAGAGCTTGCGATACCAAGGACTGCGCGGAATTTTCTCAACAGCGGTGGTAATCGATTATTGCGAAAAGGTGACGACCACTCTATTGAAGGTTTCAATATTTAATTTCGAAGTCATACTGCTGGAACTCGAATGCCTATCCTCTAGATGTTTAGTGGGAGATTCCAGTTTTTAGAGTCATCTCAGAGACTGGTGATCTGTTATTACTATAAAGGGATACCCGTCTAAGTAATCCCGCATCCGGCGAATTCCCCATACGAAGCATTTAAGCTCCGTCGCGCTGTAATTTTGTTCTGATTTAACGTGCAGTTTGCGTATATTATGACGCGCTTCTCCTCCGGGAAGTTCTGTATGAGTACGGCTCCGAGATCGGTATTATTACTCGCGTCAATTTATAATGGCGAATTCGACGTATGCACTGTCACATGCTTTAGTGCTGCCCTGACGTGGTGCGATTGTAGAACTTTAGTGCTATACCAAATTGCACTGTCAGAAACATCAACGCATCATTTTTTGAATTCGTTTAGTTTATTCGGTTGGTTCGAATATAAATTCAGCACTACACTCAGTTTTTATTTGCCGAATATGATAATCTTAACGCACTAAGACAGTGCACACAAGCTGAATGTATGGCACTGAAAAAGTTCGCCCTTCGTGCGCACAGTGCGGTCTGCCGAATTCATTATAAGATAAATCTTCTCGAAAAATTGGGACATGCGAAGGGACGATGGTGAAAATATTCTTTAATTTTTGATACGTGGTTTCTTTATCCGGCCCCCATTTCTATCACGCGTTTTTGCATGTGAGTGAACGGGAGCGGCTACAGAACTGTGAAACGACAACCAATAGGAAGCTATGCCCAAAAATTGCCAAATCTATTTCACCGTCTTTGGCATCGGCCATTCGTTTATTGCCTTGACTTTGTCGGGTCGGTTTTTACCTCCCTATCTATAAGCTCTCGAGATAAGCTACAAGAATGTATAATAAAAAATAGGGATTTCTATTTAAAAAAATATTAATGATCTTGATCTGATTTTGACAAGGTCACTCAAGGTCAAGTCCACATTTCCATCATGTGTCTCCCTTTAAGCTATGCAACCTTCGTTTGAAAAATTTTTCAATAAAATCATCGATTTGCGAGGTAATCAATCATATCACTTAAAATAAAACACTCTGTGCGCGCGCGCTCGCTCGCCCGCCTCAAACGTTTCTCTCTTCAGAGTGCACGTGCGGAGAGGTATATTCATAGGTTGTACGCGATGAACTTTCTAGCGTGATCGTAGCCGGAGAAATATCTTAATAAATAAACAATTCTTCACATTGAAAGAATTGTTGCTTGGTTTTCAAAAAAATCAGTTTAATATTCTGAATTCTCTGTAGGAATTGTATTAGAAATTAAACTAATAGGAAAATACTATATATTTTTATTTTCATTAGCCACGTTATGTTGTTTTTATATTTTTCCGTAAGAAATTTAAATACAAGATAAATATTAATAGATATACGTTGTATAGCGGTAAATGGAAGAACTATGGTTCGATATAATATTGCCGTGTTGTGTTTCTGCTGTGTTTTTGCTGTTACTTGTTAAGATTGCAGCACGTGCTTGATTTTTGCCATGTTTTTGCCGCCATGCCATGCAAGCACATAAATTCGATTTCTGACATTTATCAGTATAATACAATGATATCATATTACATTCAATTTTGGTTTAGTTTCTGATGATATGTATATTGTCTCAGCATGAAATGTTCAAAATATACTATTTTTATGCCAAGAACTTCTGTTTAATTTTTGCAAATTTTTTTATAATTTATCTTGATATTGAAACTGCTTGTTTTCTGTTATATTTCTACCGACACTGAGATGGCAGATAATGTTCGGTTACTATTCGAGTTCTGCCAACATAGTATGTAGTACACAAATAGTAATACATGATCTTGGCAAGTCTTGGCTAACTAAGTAGATAGAGATCGGCCACTATAGAACACGGAACGTTGAAAGAATGCTACTGAGAGATTGCAATGAATGTTGATGTGTCAATGTTGCATCTATATTGATTCTTCTACATTGATTGTTAATGTTGCTGCAACGTTGAAACAATATTGAACCACAAGTTGAATCTTTATTGATTTTTCCACATTGATTGTTGATGTTGCTGTAACGTTGAAATGACGTTGAATAAATTATATATTGAAATCTATTTTATATTTTGTAAAAAATATACAATATAAAAGTCGATTCATGATCTTTCTACATATCTATACGTCACAGGTATACATCCACTAACATTCAGTGTTCGTGGATCATTAAAGCAGCAGTTCCTGTAGATTGCAGAGGTCGGGCATCATTAGATAGGGTACAAGATTAGATGAGTGACTGCTTAGAAAAATAAGGAAACTAATTCCCAAATGAGGGAAAGCCTTTTTTTTTTAATTATAATTTTATCGTGCGTGTTTCGGAATATGATGTTAATTACACACACAATAATACTTATGTATTTTAATAATAAAACTGAATTAATTAATATGCGAAAAATGTTTTACGTCTTACAGACGATGCAATTCAACGTTTCTGCAACGTCTTTTGAACATTGAATCTACATTTTGCGATGTTGCTGCAATGTTCGCAATGTTGCAGTTCAATGTTTCTGAGATATTGGGCATGTTCAAAGCGGCTAACCTGCTCACTAAGCAAATGAGTACGATTGGTTGTTACTTATATATCCAATTACAGACCTTCTAATAAGAGTCACTACATGAGAAAACCGTATTTTGATTGGTCCGGCATGTTTTAACAATTCCCATCTATATTTGTATTATTATTAAATTTCAACAACATAATTATTATAATATTAATTATTTTAAAGGTATTAACAAATAGATTTCTTACATTATATGTCGAAATAATACATGCCAGAAAAATTATTTATTTTAATCTCTTTTTTTTAACGAAATTATTTTGAAAATTTAAAGATTTGATTGTGTACTTTGAAACGAGAATTAAAAATGACAAAAGTGAGCAAGCTCATTAGAATATTTATAATTTCATTAGTTAACATCTAATAAATTTGCTCAATTTTATAATTTTCACATCGTTTCAATTTAGTAAAATTGTGTTTAGGACACATTATTAATTGCCTTGATCTTGACATGTTTCGTAATTCTGTATGACATTAAAAGGTTTTAGCCTTAATAATTTTAATTTTTTTAAATTACTAATTTAATATTTGAGGCATACATATAATTAGTACTAATTATGTACATAGAGAGAGAGAAGAGTGAAAGAAAGATTTATAATAATTGTATTTTTAACGAAACATATGTTATTAATTTTTAAATAATAAATTTATGTAAATATTATTTAACTTTGCAGAGAGAAGAATTTGATTACAACCAATTTTTCACACCCAACATCTTTTGCTAACATTTTTCGCCTATAAAACATGACGTTCGGTATTTTCGAGGAAATGCTTCCATTATGTAGCTTTTGGTTACTGAATTATTGCAAAATAGAGTTGCACACCTAACCATTTTTAATAATTATCAGTATAATCGAGTACAACACATGTACGCGTGTTCCGTCAGCGCAGATTTAAGTCATTATGTTAGAGACGTGTTAAGATTTAAATAAAGATATATATTTCTCTCTTTATTATCGATTTTGTTAAAATTACTACCCTATATACAAAAAGTCGGCTCGTATCGCGACTTTTATTATAGGATCTCTAAATTCAACCAATCATATTCAATCACTCGGCGAGCAAGCTAGCTGCTTTATTCGGATTGAACGCGCTCATTGATTCAACGTTAGTGCGCGCGCCAATGCTACTCCGTGATTGGCTCTGCCGTGTTGTGAAAACGATGAGAGAAGTGACACCATACTTTGCGATTGACCTGCTTACCGATGTGATAATAGCGTATCATGGAGAGTGAAATTAATTTAATTCATGAAACTAATTTAATTAATTTAATTAAATTAATTCTTAATCTGTTAAAACCCTTTATTATTCCGAAGAGCTCCATCAAGCCATATCATCTCGTTTAAAGTGTGCTCGAATGAGATTGTCTTCGTTCACGAATTCCAACTTGCTTTATTGTGAGCACGTGTTCAGAAAAAGCTATATCTATAGAATTCATTCCCTTTCCAATCGCAGAACTCAGAGGAGTCTTTTACAGTAAATAATGCATGAAATCATGAATGAAAATATGTCATTAGAACTTTTGGTATATAGAACAAAATGTATGTAAAAATTCATATACAAATACATATATACATTTTATGTTCAAATTAACCTAAAAGTGCTATTATGAAATTGTTTGTAGGGTGTATCTGAAATAATGTTCACTAACCATATAGTACTGTTCTTAATAAAAAAAACTGTCGAAAAATCTACCATTTTGCAATTTTTACAATATGCAAGTACTAACGTAATTATTTCAGTATAAAATACTCAGATCACTTCACACACACGCATGCACGTGCACACGCACGCACATTGATATTGGCGCGCATTTTTAAAATCACATTTCCAGTTTCACAACATCATGCCCGGAGCTTTGCCTGATTTTTATCTAGAGGATCTTTACTAGTCCTTCTTCTTACTGAATCATTTGGAGCATATTTTCGGGCATCTTTACTACTGATTCCTGCGGCAACTGACTCCAAAACTTTTAGGGTTGCAGCAGACTTAAAAAACTAGGAAAACCGGGAAGAATCAGGGAAATTGAAATTGGTCATGGAAAACCGGGAAAAGCAGGGGAAAACGTAAAAAAATCTGGAATTTTGGAATTTACTCACAATTTTCTTAAATTGCTCCTATTCCAAATAATTATTATAATTTTTTAATATTGTATTATATCTGACGTTTGTAGTTATTGTAAATACATCATTCAAAACTTGCGTATTGTAAATGATTTTAATAAAATAATTAAAATTTATATTTTATTCAGTATTTTTATTTGATCCTTCTTTTTCGTAATTTTTTTTTCCAATACTAATTTATTTTTTGTTGGCTTAAATTTGCACTCAAAATTTTTTATTAAAATTTTATGCTACTAAGCCTTTTTGTTGTTTTTAATAATACAGACTAGCTTTCCTGCAATCTTTGATTGTAAATCTGTTAAAATTTATATATTTTAACTTATTTTATGTTAGAAAATTTTCCATTTTCATCTGGAAAACCTGAAAAAATCAAGGAATTTTAAAATTTATTTTCTGCGGCGATCCTGATTTTATTTTTTTAATCCTAGCTCTCTCTCCCTGAGGAATAGCAGATTGAATCCCTCTTCTGAAGTAAGAAATAAGCGAAAATACGAGAAAAATATTAAGACGCTTTGAAATTCGAACCGAGGCCTGATCTCCTTTATATTGGTAGATCTGTCTTACCACTGAGTCACACAGCACTGACTCTGATAGTTTCTTTGTTATACTTACTTCTTCTTACAGCACTCTTTCTCATTTTGTACGTGGCTGTTTCCTGTCAGATAATTTTCTGTCGTGATCTTTTCTATAGTAAACATATTGTACTTGTTGTTAATATAAGAACAGAAAGTAAATTAATTTGACGCTTTTAAGATTTTAATAGATAAGAAATAAGGAACAGAACTATTGATACAGTTTAGGAGATTTTGTTTAATAATGAGATTATTTTTTATATTTGTCCAGTTTATGGAATGCCCTTACAATTTGGCAAGAAATCGTCAAACGAGAATGCTGGCAGATCTATCGATAGTTGGCTGTTATAACTCCACTCTTAGCAAAACTGATGAAGAACGTCTAATATTGGCTAGTGCTAAACACAACTTACAATTTATGCCTTTCTTCATGCTAACTGAATATCAGAAGGTATGTAATATGTTAAAATGCACGCAATTTATTTTTATTGTTATCATCATTATTACCATTTTTAGATAAATATATTTATTATCTACTATAACTTTTTGTTACAATGCTCATGGTATTTATCATATAAAACTTTTTTTATTGTGTGGTGTATCAGCATTCAATAGTTGATACTACTTGGAGACGAGAGAACGCTTCACGTGGAAAAAAGATTGTGATCTCATTTAGAGTGAGATTTCACTTGCGCATTTTTATCACGACAAATGTGTGCAGGACAGAGAGGTCCTCGGATCTTTCTATTCTATAACCAATCAACAAGCTTAACAAATTTCTCATATGACAAAAATGCACAAATGAAATCTCACGCTTACAGCGAATACTTGATATGCGTACTGACTGACTGGTAACTTTCTGTTAAATTATTTTAATTTTGTCAGTGCGTGTAAACGTGACATGTCTGTTTAATTAATCATCTTGGTGCATGTTGTATCAGCGTTAGTACACCATTCTTTAAATGCATTGCTGAAATTAAGATAATTTAATAGAAACTTAGTTACGCGTATCAAATGCTCGGTGTAAATTACAATAATGTATTTAAACAATAATGTACTAAATTGATACAATATGTGTCAAAAGGATTAATTAAATACATATAACAAAAAAATTATTATAATAGGCTAATGAGAGTCAGATCGATAAACGGCTCAATTATTTATTAGTGAACAATTAATAATCAGGAATTGGATTGATGTCTTCTTTATTTTGAACGTTTTGACTCTCTTTGGAGTCCTTCTCAGCAAGAATGATACAAGAATAATTAGCTTACATGTCCATAATGTTTAAGTTACTCGCAAATTGACAAAGATGCAGCATTGTTAATTAAAAAAGAAAAAACAAATCTTATTAGAGTGATATATGCGTAAACAATTTAAATGACTTACCATCACAGAACATGAAGCAATGCACTGAAGCTTTGTTGAACATATTAAAACTTAAAAAGTAGAATTGTTAAAATCAAATATAAAGATCATTTTATTAATTGACGAATATAACAATTTTAACGAAATATGTTTTATATACAAAGCTTCAGTGCGTTGGTTCATGTTCCGTGATGGTAAATCATTTAAATTGTTTACGCATATATCACTAATAAGATTTGTTTTTTTAAAAAATGTCAGATTAACAATGCTGCATCTTTGTCAATTTGAGAGTAACTTAAACATTATGGACATGTGAGCTAATTATTCTTGTATCATTCTTGCTGAGGAGGACTCCAAAGAGAGTCGAAATGTTTCAAAATAAAGAAGACATCAATCCAATTTCTGATTATTGATTGTTTACTAAATAATTGCGTCGTTTTTATCGATGCTGACTCTCATTAGCCTATTATAGTTATTTTTTGTTATTGTTTAAAATTCGAGAGTTCTAATATAATTATTGTTATTGTTAAATATATATATTATATATGTATTCATATGCATCGCGCTGAAAATAAGATAATTCAATAGAAAATTACTAGTTCGTATTTATATCCACAATGTAGAAGTCTTTTACATCAAGCATTCGATATGCTAACTAATAACTTTCTATTAAATTATCTTAATTTCAACAATGTATTTAAAAAATGATGTACTAAATTAGTACAATATGTACAAATGATTAATTAAATATTCGTATCATAAATATGTTTACACTTATTATCGAAATTAATAACATTAATGGTAACTTTCTATTGAATTATTTTATGGTGTTTTCGGTTCAACCGGGTTTGAACCAACCTGGATTGGAAAATGCTTTACTATTGGTTGACGTTATACGCTCTACCAATGGGAGAACACGAAATGTCATTAATTTAATCCAGGCAAATCCGGTTGGGCCGAAACGCATAAAATAATTCAATAGAAAGTTATTATCCTCGCAGAAAAAAAATTTTTATAAAAAGGTACAGAAAAATTATGTAGATTGAGACAAGCTCTTAGAAATTCTTAATTTTTCGTAGATATTCGTAGTGAGAACATAGAGTGGCGTTGCTTGAAAGTGGAGGATATCTAGGTTTTTCAAAGAAACAACGCCGCTTTACGTCCCACTACGAACATCTGTAAAAAATTAATAATTTCTAAGATCTTGTCTCAATCTATGTACTTTTCGTAAAAGTTTCTCCGCCAGAATAGTTATACATATATAAAGGTAGTAACTTTGTCCACTTGGAAAATTACCGCTATTTTTAGAGATATAAAATAATATATTTATTGAAGTTGTATAGCATTAAGAGAGGTATAATATACTACTAATGGTTTTTCTATGAGTGGAAGCGTTTCAAAGTCTTCTCCACTTTTTAAAATGGAATCGTATAATTTTTGTTTATACAATATGATTCCTCTAATTATATTCTGCTATAAAAGTATTATACTTGTATCTTGATGGTAATGATATAAAAAAAAGTTTACATTTATTTTATACTTTATTCTGGCATATGATATAAAATATTAAATAACTTATAAACTGTTAATTTTTTTATACATATCTTAATACTTTTATGAACAGAATAATGAGATGAATCAATTGGTGGAAAGAAAACATAGCTTTAAAAAAATATGTATGCAAAAAGGATAATTTTGTAAATAAGCAACTATCAGTTTTCTTTTCTTTTTCACGCATTATAAATTTTTTGCATTAAAAATCATATTCCTTCTGTCAGAAGCATTTTCTTTCAAATAAATTTCAACAAGGAATACGAGAACTCTCGTCAAAACATAGCAGATTATAGCTTACGTAAAAAATATAATCTTATGCTTACAAATTGTTTAAAAAAATCTTTCTTTGTAAATTTAGACCTCTGTAAGTCTCCTTTTAGAAAGATTTTTTAAAAGAATTTATAAGCAAAAAAGTTATATTTTTGCTTAATTAATAAATTAGGTCGTGTGCCTCATTTATTAAACGTAATTTATCTATGATGTCCCCCGTTTCCTTTGCACTCGTCGCGACTATGAGGGTATTATCCGCATATTATAAATTACTAATCTTCTTTCTCCCAATCGATATGCCTCCTTGCATTCCTCTAAAACCTGCCTCATGACATATTCACTGTAGATGTTAAACAGTGGAAGGGACAGGATGCAACCCTGTCTTACCCCTGCATATACTTGAAAGTTATTTGAATATGTCTGGTCTATTCGAATCTTTACTATATTATCCTGATATAAGCTGCGAATCATTCGGATCAGATGTTTCGGTGTTCCCATCTTTTCCAAAATTTTTCATAGCAGGCTCCATTTCACCTTATCAACCATCTTATTATAGTTAACAAAACAAAGAAACACCGAATGATTGAATTCTCTTGCCTTCTCTATAAGTTGTCTGATATTTAGAATTTGCACTGTCGTACAAATCGTCCCTGCCTGGGAAAAATCCGGCCTGTTCATCCGATATCTATGGCAAAAAAAATCGATTTCAATCATCCGTGTATAATGTGCAGAAGGATTTTACTACACTAGCGTGCGATATCAGTGCTACCGTTCTATAGTTCATACATTCCAAAGATGAGCCCTTTTTAAAGATGGGAACAAATTCGATTCCTGCCAATCCACGGGCTATATGATTGTCTACCATACAATGTTACATATTCTGTGGATATGCATCCACTCCTTTTTCTTCCATAGTTTTCAAGATCTCAGCTGTTATCCCATCTGTTCCCGGAGATTTTCTTTGTTTTAAGAATTTTATTGCTCTTTTGATCTCTTCGCATTATATGCTGAGCTCCCCTAGGAGCTCCCCTAGGAGTGTGGGTATGCATCACTATCCATCGTAGTCATCCTCAAACAGTTTCTGGCAGTATTTCTTCCACACCTCTTTAATGCCGATCAAATTATTATCTCCACTCCTTGTTCGTTCTTGATTGTTCGCGGTATAAACTCTCTAACAGATATCTGACTTTGTTGAACAATTCACGGGATGCATGGCGATTGAAATACCATTCAAGTTCTACGCATATTGATGAGATATATTCATTTTTGTCCCATCTGCTAGCTGTTTGTATATCCTGGTTTATTTGTTCAAGCCGTGTATGTTTACTATCGTCATCCCTGCTTCGCTTTATGGCTTTTCTGTTCAACAAGTTGTAATGTATTGTCAGTCCAATGCTTCTTTTTAATAATTCTTGATTTAAGGCATTGATTCACGGCATTCATAATCCATTCCTTTGTCTCCTGCTATGCTGCATCTGAGTGACTTCTCATATCTGGTATCCCCGAACTCAAAGCGATTCGGAATTGTCCCGGGTTTGTCACACCAACCATCGTTTCATGCTGAACTCAGGTTGTTTTTTTAATTTAAACTTAGCCCATAGCAGATGTGGTCTAAGCATCTGCGCCAGGCTTCGTCTTCGCATTAACTATTGAGGACTTTCATCTAGATCTAATTAGAAAATAATCAATTTGGTTTTTTGTGTGATCATCGGGGCGCTTCTCCATGTTGATAGGCGTTTAGGATGATATTTAAAGACAGTGTGACACACATACACACACTTCCATCCATATCCATATCCATACCCCCCCCTCCACACACGCACACACACACGCACGCACGCACACACACACAATTTATTCTCAATAATGAAATCTAAGGGAGTTGCTCCCCCCTGTCGTTTCTTTCTCCAAGGCCATACTTCCCCACAATTGACACTTTGTGTTCTACGGTCTTTCCGACTTTCGCATTAAAATCTCATAATTATTAGAAGCTCTTTGGCCGGTATTTTGACTGCTAGCTATGGCAGAGTTTATTCTTTCCACGTCCTCCTCCTCCTTCACTTCTGAGATCAGCATATATACTTGTATCAAGTGGAGACATGTTGGTTTCGCGTCCAGGATCATTATGATGAGTCGATCGCTGATGGAACGATATTCGTACGCATACCAGCTTCTTGCTGACGATAAACTCTATCCCATTTCTTCCTGTTTCTTCGACTCTCGAGATGTATATTGCGTGTTTGATATCTGAAAGTGTCCTTTCCTTTCCAGTAAGTTTCAGCTATTCCACATATGTCCACGAGTTTTTCGTTCAGTTCTCTTTTTAATATTCGAAGTTTCCCTATTTGTAGCAGACCATGCACGTTCCAGGTAGCCAAATCAATCAATTTCCTCAGCTGATATCTCTCTTTCAGTCACTAATTTCGCATGCGCAACCTAGTCGTCTATCCTCGTTTGGTAAAATGAAAATATATTTTCATTTTACATCTGTCTACCAAATAGTTATATCATGTCTTTAAAATTTGTTTTATGTAAGTGAATTAAAATTGGTTTTTTACTGTTATTTATATTAATTTTTTAATTTATTCACATTTGCATTATACAGTAAATGGAACAGTTTAATGGAACATGTGCAACAAACCTTATAAAATTAGTTCAATCTTAATAGTCATTTAACTTAGTAATTTTTTAACTTAGTAATTAAAGGACCAAGACATTAACTCGGACATCACCACCACGTGTTTTCTCTTCTCTTTTTATGTTATTAGTTTATACGTGTATGCGCTACCATTATGTAATTTTGTTAATATATCTTTTGTTCTGAAGAGGACCTTGACCGTAGGTCGAAACGTATACGTTTAATATTCACTTTGAATAAATGATATTATAAAATACATACTAATAACCGTATCTAAAAACCATACTAATAACAGTGTCGGTTTAAATTGGCATTTTATTTATTATTTTTTATAATAAAATTTGATTAGTATCAAAAATCAACATTCTCGGGAAGATATCTCAATTTTTTGTCTTAACATTCTCTTTCTCAAAAGAAGGACACGATAATAGACTTAGTGAATAGAATTTTCTTTTTATCGGACATAGAATTCCATAGAAAAAAATTTTGAGTTTATTATAAAAGTTCTTTTAAACAATGACTATCCTTTAAAATTCATATTTGATACCATATCTGAAAGAATTAGAAGTCTTCTTAATAAAAAAAACATTAATACAAAATAAAAAACTGACAATGGAGACGAAATAAAAAACTCTCTTC